GTCGGGCATGGTGGTGCATGCCTGTAGAGGCTGAGGCAGTAGGATCACTTGAGCCCAAAAGATTGAGATTGGTGGGAGCTAGGCTGATGCCACAGCACTCACTCTAGCCTGGGCAACAAAGTGAGACTCTGTCTCAAAAAAAAACAATCAGCCATTTGCAATTAACGATCCACTGGGTATTGATATTGGCCAGATCCCTATTGCAAGAAAGTTGCCAAAAAGGTAATAAATTAACAAATCCTTTAATAATAAACAAGCGATGTATGAATATCTATACTTTTTATAAGTAAAAATTAAAAAGGAATTATTTGCCATAATCAAAAAGTTAAAATTTCTAATATAAAGGATTCATACAAATTAATATGATTATAAAAACCCACTAATAGGCCAGGCGCGGTGGCTCATGCCTGTAATCCTAGCTCTCTGGGAGGCCGAGGCGGGGGGATTGCTCAAGGTCAGGAGTTCGAAACCAGCCTGAGCAAGAGCGAGACCCCGTCTCTACTATAAATAGAAAGAAATTAATTGGCCAACTAATATATATAGAATATTCTAATATATATAGAAAAAATTAGCCGGGCATGGTGGCTCATGCCTGTAGTCCCAGCTACTTGGGAGGCTGAGACAGAAGGATCGCTTGAGCCCAGGAGTTTGAGGTTGCTGTGAGCTAGGCTGACGCCACGGCACTCACTCTAGCCTGGGCAACAAAGCGAGACTCTGTCTCAAAAAAAGAAAAAGAAAAAGAAAAAAAAAGAAAAAGAAAAAGAAAAAGAAAAAGAAAAAGAAAAGGAAAAAAACCCCACTAATATACCAAAGACTGGGTCACACAACAAAATACTAAGAAGTTATCAAAATTCTGTAAAAATCTATCTGCTGATGAGGTAAAATAAAAATATTCAGTTATAAAATTATATATGGGCTGGTCCCATTTCCATTTTTAAAAATTTATGTTTTTATTTATGGATCAAAAGAATCTAGACAGACAGAATGACAGTTTCAGGACAGAAGAGAACTTGAATATTTTAAAATATTCCTTCCCCCTGTCTTTTTAAAACAAATTTACAGTAATATACTGGCTTTGGTAAAAATTTTATTCAAAATTATAAAACAAAAATGAAAAAAGCAAACTGTTACAAAGAAAAGATAGTAATCAACCAGAACAAGTACTATCCAAAACTCACTCCTGTGAGTCCATTCTTCTTTCTGTTAGTAGTATATGCCACTTGAATTATATTCTGTCAACCATAAAGCCAGTCATGACAATTATAGTCCAATCCAATGTTCCCTCTCCAGTCCTGGGCTCCACTGATTTCCATTCTCATATGTAATGCCCTCTAGGATTCTGCCTTTTATTGTCCTCCCAATTTATGAACTGGTAACATAAAGGCACCACATTCTCTCCTGTTTGCCTTTCATTTACTATCATTGGAGGGCAGTAATCAAAACCTCAAATCCACCAGTCCCACTGCTTTTTTAATGTAATTCCAAAAGCCCTCACCCTTCTTATTCAGATTAGTGTTTACAGTCCTTCCCATAGCTCACTGCAGCCTTAAATTTCTGGGCTCAAGCAGTCCTCCTGCCTCAGCCTCCCTAGTAGTTGGGACCACAGGCACACATAACCAGGCCCAGCTAATTTTTCTTATTTTCTAGAGAGAGAGGGTCTAACTATGTTGTGATCTTCCTGTGTCAGTCTCTCAAAGTGCTGGGATTATAGGTTTGAGCCACAATACTGGCCAAAACTCAATTCTTATAGACCTTTTAATACTCCATGATCCCACTAACCACAAGGTCTGCACATATGCTACTGCCTTTTACCTGGAATGTTCTTCCTCACTTTAATATAGTATTAATAATGAATACTATAGACTCTATGGTGAGACTGCCTGGGTTCAAATCCTACTCTGCCACTTATTATTACCTGTGTGACCTCAGTTTATTCATTTGTAAAATGAGGACAGCAACAGTACCTACCTCATAGGGTTATGGGAAGATAAATGAAATGTTATGTGTGAACCGCATCTTGCATACACTAAATGCTCTATGATGTTTACTAAATAAACAAACAAACCTGAGATGTACTCTAGAATAACAGGAACCCAGATTCTGGAGCCAGAATGCTTGTGTGGAAAGTCTGGCTCTAAGCAACACACCCGTGTGTGTGTGTGTGTTTGATATATATATATTTTTTTTTTTTTTTTTTTTGGAGACAGAGTCTCACTTTGTTGTCCAGGCTAGAGTGAGTGTGTGGCGTCAGCCTAACTCACAGCAACCTCACACTCCTGGGCTCAAGCAATCCTCCTGCCTCAGCCTCCCGAGTAGCTGGGACTACAGACATGCGCCACCATGCCCGGCTAATTTTTTGTATATATTTTTAGTTGGCCAATTAATTCTTTCCATTTATAGTAGAGACGGGGGTCGCCTCTGCTCTGCTGGTTTCGAACTCCTGAACTCGAGCAATCCGCCCGCCTCAGCCTCCCAGAGTGCTAGGATTACAGGTGTGAGCCACGCGCCGGCCTCTAAGACTTATATTGTATCGTGTGAAACCTTGGGCATATTATTTAACCACTTAGTTTCGTCTCTGAAGACAGAATAAAACCTACCTCTATGATCTATTATGAAGAGTAAATTAATTAATATAGCAAGGACTAAGAAAAAGACTAAAAACATAGCAAATGCTATATAACTACAAACTATTACTATCATTTTCCAGTTATCAATTCAAGTATCATTTCTTCATGGAAGCCTTTCTCAACCTGTTAGCCTAGGCAAGGGTCCCTCTGTTATTTGCACCCACAGCACTGTATACCTTTCCTTCAGAGTTGTAACCTCAGTTTTAATTTCAAATTTGTTAATTTATTTAGCAACTTGTTAACTTCTATTGGTCCCTCTAGACCATAAGTCCATGCAAGAAGAGACTGAGATAGGGTTTGCCACCTTGTAGACCACATCAAATTACTGAATTAAAAAAATGGCTAACCAAAATCTTTAGTTTTTGAAAGGTCTATAGTCTATATGAAAATGATCTGAAATATTTTATTACCAAGTAATATATTAACATTATCAAGTAATAATAATTTTCAGATTTTGGAACATAAGTGTCATTTAGAAACTATAAATGAAATATAACCAGGCTTTAAAAGATGAGTAACATTCTGTCTTACTGGAATAAAGGAAAAATAAAAAATAAAAAAAAAATAAAAAAAAAGATGAGTAACAAATGAATAACCATAACTACTAATAATAACCAACACCCTCTCAAATACAAGTGTTTGTTATTTTCATTCACTATAAACTACTGAAAAAGTTTTTTTTTTTTTTTTGAAACAGAGTCTCACTTTGTTGCCGGCTAGAGTGAGTGCCGTGCGTCAGCCGCGTCACAGCAACCTCAATCTCCGGGCTCAGCGATCCTACTGCCTCAGCCTCCCGAGTAGCTGGGACTACAGGCATGCACCACCATGCCCGGCTAATTTTTTGTATATATATATTTTTAGTTGGTCAATTAATTTTTTCTATTTTTGTAGAGACGGGGTCTCGCTCAGGCTGGTTTCGAACTCCTGACCTTGAGCAATCCGCCCGCCTCGGCCTCCCAAAGTGCTAGGATTACAGGCGTGAGCCACCACGCCCGGCCTGAAAAAGTTTTTTTAAGAGTAAGTTTTGGAGAGTAAAATTCGCTACAATTTTTTTATTATATGCCCTGGTGACTAGCACAGTGCCTAGCACAGAGAAGACCTCTATAAATATTTGTTCTCTAAGTATGTACTCATCAGCATGAAATACTGCATATATTTATGTATCACAATCAAAAACTGGAGTTGCGGAGAGAGAGGAACACTCCTACACTGCTGGTGGGACTGCAAACTAGTTCAACCTCTGTGGAAAGCAATATGGAGATACCTTAAAGCGATACAAGTGAATCTACCGTTTGATCCAGCAATCCCATTGCTGGGCATCTACCCAAATGATCCAATGACACTCTACAAAAAAGACACCTGCACTCGAATGTTTATAGCAGCACAATTCATAATTGCAAGGCTGTGGAAACAGCCCAAGTGCCCATCAATCCAAGAATGGATTAATAAAATGTGGTATATGTATACCATGGAGTACTATTCAGCTCTAAGAAACAATGGTGATATAGCACATCTTATATTTTCCTGGTTAGAGCTAGAACCCATACTACTAAGTGAAGTATCCCAAGAATGGAAAAACAAGCACCAGATATATTCTCCAGCAAACTGGTATTAACTGAGTAGCACCTAAGTGGACACATAGGTACTACAGTAATAGGGTATTGGGCAGGTGGAGGGGGGAGGGGGCGGGTATATACATACATAATGAGTGAGATGTGCACCATCTGGGGGATGGTCATGATGGAGACTCAGACTTTTGGGGGGAGGGGGGGAAATGGGCATTTATTGAAACCTTAAAATCTGTACCCCCATAATATGCTGAAATTAAAAAAAAACCAAAAACTGGAAAGTTACAACACTTGAACTACTGCAAATAGAGGCACGGAAGCCTCCTTTGTTAGGGTGTATCTATAAAATCAGCAACTTCTACATCAACATCATATTCCCCACAGCCCACGTATGGTACAGATGTTGCTTGCCAAATGAAAATTCAATGAGAGATTTTTCACCTGATTGTGTATGGTTGAGATGAAGACACAATGAAGTAGGTACACTGCCTTTTTGCAGTGCCAAAGACACAAGGGGAGTTCATGACCCATAAGCACACACATACTCACAAACACCTGCCCCTCTGTAATGCTGGTGAGTTCTGAAAGCTTCTGAAAAAAGACTTTAAACCTACAGTCCATCATATATAACAACTGATAGCTAGTCTAATATTTAAAGTCAACACAAACTTTAGATTAGGTATATGTTGGCATTTTTATTGATTATAAGCACCCTGCCTTAAACACTCTAAAAAAGGATTCACTGAGTAACTTTTTACTCATTATAAAAGAAAGTTCTATAGCAAACCATCACAACAACTCATACCTGGTGTGTAAGTAAAACGTTGAGACTGGCTTTTTTTCCTCTTGCCATTGCAAAGATAAAAGTGCACCTGCACTGCAGCTGTAACTGCTGGGTTATGATATGGAGGAACTTCAAGGACAATGTGAGCCTAAGGAACATGGAAAGGAAGATTGTATTACACTCAGAACTAAAAATGAAATGCACCTGCTAAACTCAGTGAAACTCATGAGTCTTTAACTACAAGGGCTTTCCCATCATAGATAATTATGTACATCAACTGGTCAGAAAAGTCTTCTGGAGATTTACCATATGGATAGATAAGTCTTGACAGAGATAAGACTTTTACTCATTAAAGGGGAAATTGCTTTTTTACCCGTCCAGCTGTGTTACTAATTATAGCAGAAATAAAAACAGTCTTATATACTATGTACTGAGATATTTTGCTCTACTGAATAGTACATGTTACTATTAATCTTAACAGGAAGTCTGTTTTGGTTTTATTTATTTACTTTTCTAAGAGATGAGGTCTTGCACTCTGTCTCAGTCTCCTGAGTAGTTGGGATTACAGGCAAAAGCCATCCTGCCTTGACCATTCTGGTTTTTAATCATGTTTGATTTTTCTCAAGTTGCACTATAGATTTATTTTTTTGAGACAAGTCCTCATCATTGCCTGGGCTAGAGTATAGTGGCATCATCATAGCTCACTGCTACCTCAAATGCCTGGACTCAAGTGATCCTCCTGTCTCAGCCTCCTGAGTAGCTAGGACTATACGCATATACCATTAAGCTTGGCTAATTAAAAAAATTTTTTTGTAGAGGCAGGATCTTGCTATGTTGTCCAGGCTGGTCTTGAACTCCTGGCCTCAAGGAATCCTCCTACCTCGACCTCCCAAAGTGCTGTGATTACAGGCATGAGCCACTGTGCCCAGCCTAGATTTCTTAAGCTTTATATTCAAAATGTCCTAAATTGGCATTACATAAAATCCATATCCATATTAAAAATAATTTTACACAAGCAGGGTGAAAACCTTTAGCTCCAAACCAAATGCAATCCTCAACCTAATTGCTCAGGATCTTTGGAAAGCACAGTGGGAAATAGTATTCCCTACTCCAGAGAAAACTTTGTCTCCATTTGAACCATAATGAAGGGACCCAGCTTTCAATGTGGAATCCTAGAAGACTTAATAAAGTAGCTGAGGAGGTAAGATTAGTGTGCTAAATACACAAATCCCAAAAGGCTTGTCTTCCTCCTATCTTTTGCCCACTATATATGTTCTTTACTGAATTTGTTTTCATTTATTCACTGAATTCAGAGAAATAAATAATAATTTCAATAAGAACCTTCTGATAATCTTCTTTCATTTCTAATTTCTCCTTTCGTATGCACAAAAAAGAGAATACACCAATTGGTTATCTTTTCTAAACTTTAATTTTATTTTAATACCAGGAAAGTATCTCTCTTCCAAACTTCTAAAAATTCCAATTTACTTTTCTATTACTCAATATATAAAAGACCACTCATCTATACCATAAAGCATCATTCTTCAATTTTCTCATTAGGCTTCTTAAATATTTCTTAAGAATTAAGGTAAATTTCTTACCCCTTGACATTTTTCCCTGATTATTTTCCCTTCTACCTCCCACTGAGGTCGTCCATCTATTGAAAGAAACAATCTATGGTTAAAAGCAATTCATATCAGAAAGCATACAAACAAAATTGAATGCATGTAGTATCACAAATTCATTGGCAAAGGGAATCCTTTTCTCACTGACTTCCATTATGAAATAAAATGTGTACGTGTACCAATGGGAAAAAATTAGGAGAATGATCTTGAGCTGCCCAGGTTAGCAAACGCCACAGAGTTCATTCTACCCATCTACCCAAGTGTTGTCTGAAAGTCCTGAGAGCACGCCCACAAAGTGTTGTCCAATTTTTGCTTGTGTACCTCAAGTGATGGGAAACTCAATTTCTCACCAGGTAACCCATTCCATCTTTGGATAATAACTGTTGCTAGAAAGCTTCTCATGATAAACAAAATCTGTTTCTATGGTATAAAAGACTACTCATCTATACCATCAAGTTGCATTCTTCAATTTTCTCCAATAACTGGTCTAAGTACTCCCTGAAGCCACTAAAAACCAAAAAATCTTGAGTGCTTCTCTGTAAGATAACATTATAGATGTTGAAAAGCAGCTATGTCTGCATGTGTTTCCTCCCTTGCTGGTTAGTATTCCCAGTTCTGCACCTATCCCTTATACAATATGTTAGCCTTCCTGATCACTCTTCTTTGAACATGCCCCTCCAGTGTGACCGTCTTCCTCCAAATGCACCAGGCCCAGGAGGACTGCATAGTCCAGGTGAGAAATGACCATGCACAGCAGACAGGCTCTTGCCATCCTATGTGGAGGTGCTGTGTCTGTTAATGAAAGCTTTCTTGGCAGCTGTACCACACTGACTCTCACACTAAGTGTGTGGTCAACAAGTGTCCCTCAGTCTATCACATTTCCTACTGCCAAGTTCCCATACTGTGCACTTAAATAGCTGGGGTTTTCTTTTTGCCTAACCCTTGTAACATTAATTTCTTCCAGTAGGGATATTTCATTTTGTTGGATTACTTGACAAGATCTTCTTAGATACTGATGAGGGTCTTTAAAAATATTTGTTAGGTTTTCCAGATTTGTGTCACCTAAAGGTTTGGCTAACACATTTTTGTCTCTTTATCCCATGTGAACTACTCACTTGGATACAGCCCCACCTGCTGATAAAAGTCTCACTCCAGACTGATGTGCAGCTATTCCAAAGCATTCTTGTATCATGGGCATTCATCCAGTGACTAAGCTATAAAAGTATCTTCACAGCTAGCATAATTAATTTGGTCTGTGAAGGTAACAGGAGAGACTTCATCAAACGCCTTCCAGGTTGTAACTATCATTTCCCAGTCTGGTAACTAGATAATGGCCATTCCTGCTGCACAAGAAATACTACAGACAAGTGCTAGGACAATATAGAATTATAACTTAGTTCAGCAATCATCTGTTTACTGAGATAACTGAGACAGGATGCCCTGCCATCAGTCTGTGGATGAAAGGCAAACACAAAACAGTTCATTATAATAAAACATGGTGGGTATAATAACTAATAACGGTGCATTCTGGTTAAACCAAGAGCAGAGGTCAGGGTCCTTAACCTAATCTTGGGATAGTAGAGGCTTCCTGGAGGAGCTCTTGAACTGAAACTAAAGAAGAGATTAAACTCATAATGTGGGGGAAGGGCAGGCAAGCCAGAAGAGACAGCATGAGCAAAGGCAAGATGACAAAAAACTGCAAGATACAGAGAACTGTAAGCACCTGTGTTGATGGAGTATAAAGTACGAGGCAGGGATCAGTAAGAAAGAAGGCTGGAAATACAGGCAGCAAATTATGGCCTGAATGCCAAATGAAAGAGCATATAAAATGAAGGGGATCATTGAAGGTACTTTTATTGATTGATTGATTGATTGAGACAGAGTCTCATTATGTTGCCCAGGATGGTCTTGAACTCCAGGGCTAAAGTGATCCTTCTGACTCAGCCTCTTGAGTAGCTGGGATTATAGGCATGAGCCACCACACCCAGCTTGAAGGTACTTTTAGAAAATGAATTATGTTTACAACTGCAATCTCATCTGAAACCAGTCACTATTTAACATGACTCAGTTTCAATCAAAAGTTTTTAAATGTGAAGTCCTAGATTAAATAAAATGAATTCAATAATGAAATAGGCTATATACATATTAATTGTATTCAGATACCAATTAATTTTTACAATGGAAAGGAACAGCTCTAAGACACTGTTTCTTCCTTATGCTTCTTGTCCACCTAATATGTGACCTCTACAGAAAAATATTCCTTGACCATTTGATATAAACAGTCCACCATTCAGTCTCTATCAACATATCCTTTTAATTCATAGCAATTTTATTTGGAATTATCTTGTTCAATTTTTTGTTTATATGCCTACTGTTTGTTAGGCCACCCCACTAGAATGTAAAGCCTACCAGAGCAGGCAACCTGAAGGTTTCATTCACCATTATACCCTAGACTAGTATCTATGTCACATAATACTGCTTCATAAACAATATCAATTAATCAATTAATAAATTATGGAACAGAACTGTTATTTCTTAAAAACAGGGCAGGGTACTGGTCAGGGTTGAGGAGGTTGAAGGGAAGTGGATTTTCTTTTCTTTTTTTTTTTTAAGAGATGGGGCCTGACTTTGTCACCTACACTGGAGTGCAGCGGCATAATTATAGTTCACTGCATCCCTGAACTCCTGGGCTCAAGCAATCCTCCTGCCTCAGCCTCTTGAGTAGCTGGGACTACGGGTGCACACCACCATGCCTGGATGATTAAAAAAAAATTTTTTTTAGAGACAAGGTCCTGCTATATTCCACATTGTAAGATTACAGGCATGAATCACCATGCCAGGAGAATTTTAAGGGAGAAAGACAGCCACATGGTTTCCAGTTCAAGAATATCCTATTATTAATCAAATTAGGAAACCCAGTCAGATAAACTAGTTTGTGAAGTCAGACATGTTTTTATTAATACATGTTAAGTATCAGTGGGACATTTATGTAGCAATATCCAGTGGACACTTTTAAAGTTCAGGGTAAAGTTTAATAGAAACAATGTTGCTATAGAAAGATCTGGAAGTTAATGAAATTTCCCAGAAAGAAGAAATATAATGAAAAGACAGCTCAATATAAAACCTTAGAAAATACCTATTACTTAAGAGTCAGAAAAACTAGTAAAAAAGATGAATGGGAATAAAGATCTCCAAGAACTAGATAAGAATTACACAAAGCCAAGAAAAAAAGTGTCAATAACGAAGAGTGAGTACCTGGTTGTCAAATGGATTTTAGAAGGTTATGATTTCCATGGAGAAATGAATAAAGTTCTGGGAAAATAGAAATGAAATGACCAAAACTAACTCAAGAATAAATAAACTCGACTGGTCCTACAATCACAAATAGAATCACATCAGAAGTTAATAGCTCGACACAAAGACAGTACCCAGTATAGAAGGTTTCATGGGTGAGATTTGTTACATATTCAAGGGAAAGTAAGACTACTCAATATAGACAATTCAAAGAGAGGAGCTTTCAGTGGGAGCCACTATCTTCCAGTAATTTGCCAAAGTGACAAACACAAAGGGAAAGAGGAGAGGCACCCAATACATGTTCTCTAGGCCTTTTGGAAACATGGAGTTGTTCCTGTGGCCATATACATGTGAATCTACAAGAAAGGTGATATTGTAGACATCCAGGGAATGGGTACTGTTCAAAAAGGCATGCTCCACAAATGTTACCATGGCAAAACTGGAAGAGTCTACAATGTTACCCAGCATGCTGTTGGCATTGTTGTAAACATACAAGTTAAGGGTAAGATTCTTGCCAAGAGGATTGATGTGTGTATTGAGCATATTAAGCATGCTAAGAGCCGAGACAGCTTCCTGAAATGTATCAAGGAAAATGATCAGAAAGAAAAGGAAGCCAAAGAGAAAGGCACCTGGGTTCAACTGAAGTGCCAGCCTGCTCCACCCAGAGAAGCACATTTTGAGAGAAGCAATGGAAAGGAGCCTGAGGAACCTGATCCCTATGAATTCATGTCATAAGATGTGTTAAAAAAAAACTCCCAGACTGTAAAAATGTTTCTCTTTATTGCATATAAGTGTGATGTTCCCTTCCCCAAAGAAATATTTAAAGAAAAAAAAAAAAAAGAGAGAGAGAGAGAGAGAGAGAGAGAGAGAGGAAAAGGATAGGGCACGTTCCCAACACATTTTGATATCCAGAATATAGAAAGAATTCCTTTAAGTCAGTAAGAAAATGAAAAATGTTCCAATGGAGAAAATAGGCAAAGGCGTCAACAGTACTGCAAAACAAACAAAATATGAATGGCCCATAAGAACTTCAAAAGATAGCAGGGAAATTTGAGGCTAAAGTTCAAGATACCATTTTACCCCTAATAGACTTAACAAAATTTAAGAATTACAATATTCTTGAATATGTCCACTAGGTGGTAAGAACCAGAACATTCATAGCAGCATTGTTAGCTACTGTTTGTTCAACATGCCAAAAACTGGACAAAGCCCAATTATCTGGTAAAAGAAAGAATAATAAATTGCAGTACATTTATACAATAAGAAAACTATACAGTAGTGAAAGCAAAATATCTTTAGTTACATGAATCAATATGGCTGGCTTAATCTTAAAACCTTAATTCTTGATCACTGAAAAAAGCAATTTTCTGAAGAATACATGCAATATTGTAGAAGCCCCACAAATGGGGGAAAAACTGTATAAAATAAAACTATAAAGAAAAGCAGGGATTGATTTAGGTGAGGAAGGGGCACCCAGAGGCCTTTAAAGGTAAATGTTATATTTCTTAAGCTGCGTAGTAGGTAAAAGTAATTGTTATATTACTCATAAAAATGGTATTAATATTCCACAATTTTTAAAATGTTTTAAAACTGAGGAAATAATTGATGGAAAAGCATTTTAAATATACTCAAGAAAGGGGCAGGGCAAGGTGGCTTACACCTGTAATATTAGCACTCTGGGAAGCTGAGGCAGGAGGATTGCTTTAGCTCAGGAGTTGGACACCAGGCTGAGCAAGAGTGAGACCCTGTCTCTGCTAAAAATAGGAAAATTAGCTCAGTGTCATTGTTCACATCTATAGTCCCAGCTACTTGGGAGGCTGAGGCAGGAGGATCACTTAAGTCCAGGAGTTTGAGGCTGCAGTCAGCTATGATGATGCCACTGCACTCTAGCTGGGGCAACAAAGTGAGATTGTCTAAAAAAAAAGAAGAAGAAAGAAGAAGAAGAAAGAACGAAGCATACGAAGGGATAAAATCAAACACTCTGATAAACACTGGGTTCTTCTATTTTTTTAAAAATTGAGATATAATTCATATACTATATATTTCATTCTTTTAAAGTATACAATTCAGAGGGTTTTTGTATATTCAGAGTTGTACAACCATCACCACTATCTAATCTCAGAACATTTCATCACCCCAAAAAGAAATGGCCCCATTCACACTTTCCTCCAACTACTGGAAACCACTTATTTACTTTCTGTCTCTGTAGATTGTTTATTCTAACATTCTATATAAATGGAATCATATAATGTGACCTCTGTAGTTCTTTTCACTTAGCATGTTTTCAGGGTTTATCCATGTGGTAGCATATAATAATATTTCATTAATTTTTTTGGACAAATAATATCCCATGATATGGATATACCATATTTTGTTTATCCATTCATCAGTTGGTGAGCATTTGGATTGTTTCCATCTTTTGGCTGTTAAAAAGTTGCTATAAACATCTGTGTCTAAGTTTTTGTATTGACCTATATTTTCAATTCTTTTGAATTGAAATTCTATACCTAGAAGTAGAATTGCTAGGGGAATTTTTCTACTCTTAAGACATCTTTAAAGAGAATTTAACATTTGTATGAAAATTTAATTAATGTTCGGTTTACAATAAAATCAAGTACATAAATGCCTGTAGCTTTAGGAAACTATTTTGTTATTATCACCGAAACATCTTAATAATTTACTTCATCCTTTTGCCCCTAGATTGAAGTCAATCAACTCACATATTATTTACCTTGTCCTTTTTCAAGGAAAATGATTTTGGATTCTGGAAGAAAATTAGATCCAGTCACAATCATTTCATGACCTCCATTTACAGAACAGCTGTTGATACTGTACTTCTCAATATGAGGAAGTTCTTGAGCAGATCGCTGGGCTGGTTTGTTTGTTTTTTAAGAGTTGAGAAGAAACAAAATATTAGTTAAAAATCTTTCATACATAAATGACAAGCTGAAGCTACAAAATGAAAATAAAGAGAAGCAAATTTGGGGATTAGTTGATTCAACCTTTTCAAATTCAAGACAATGGTAACAATACTTAATAAAAGAACTAAGTTGTTTAGAAAACAAATAGATATATTTAGTTTATGGATTTTTACATTATTTTCTTATACTACAATTATTAAGAAACTAATAAAGAGAAGTTAATTAATATCTTCAATTTCATGTTGACTCCAACACATTTACCTCATCTGCTTTTTATCTTTTTAGCTTAAATCTTAATGTATTTCTTCCATACAACTATCTGTTAAAATTCGTAAATCTAATATAATTACAAAAAGCACATAAGTCCAAAGGTGTATAATTTTATTAAATACAATTAAGAGAAGACAAGTTTTAAAAAACTATTGTAGGGCAAACGCCAAGTAACCCTTTCATCAAGAGAATACCTAGATCATTGTTGTGACATCAGACTTTCATTTTGGACAATTTTCTAAAGTAAGTAACTGAAACATACATGAAATACACATTTCAATACTGAATTTTTAGAAATGGCTATAAATGTTTTTATAGTGACTGCACATTTCTCTGCCTTCCCAGGGTATAATGGAACACAACCTAATTTTTCTTAATGCGTAGAGTCATTATTTAAATCAACTTTTATAAACAGCATCCTTGGTGCCACCCTCTAATACTGACTGGTTCCAAGTTGCTACATTTTCTGGAGATCCTATTTCTGGATAGGATCTTTTCTTTCTTTCATTTTTAAGTGCTTGGGCTTCATGTTGTAGATATTTCTTTGGATTACTTAGGTTCTCTAATGATTTCTTCTTGCCAAATACCTAGATACCCAGGTTTCTCCGAGAATTAAAACAAATTTAAAAAGTGTTGATTATACTTTCTTTTTCACATTTGGAAAACAAGTGTATTTTTAGTCCTACTGCATGGGTTGAAAACTGGTGGCTTTGAAGATCAGCTGTGTTTTGTTTGTTTAGCTAACACAGCCTTTTAAAGAGATTTAAACTTAAATGCCTTGGAAAACATGCACACCCACTTCACTATAGCTCCTATCGCTCCCAACTATTTAACAGCTAGCCACAAAAAATACACCTGCCCCATTCAAAGACAATATTAAAATAGACCCTTCATAGGGAATCAGGCTGGGATTTAGGATCAACTACCACTTTAGGATCAACTACCAAGCACCAACCCAAATCTCAGAAAATACTCATATCGCTACTGTTCTAAATAGCTCACAGAGAACAGGCCTAAAAACAACACTAATTAGAGGTACAGTCTACATAACAACAAAAATGAGTTCAACAGATGGCACAACCATATTACTCATTACAAAATTACTCATGTGCTAAAAATAGTATTTTTGTAGAATATTTAATGATAAGGAAAAATGTCCATGACATAATAATAAGTGAAAAAAAGCAAAACAAGATATAAAACCAGGCCAGGCATGGTGGCTCACACCTGTAATCCAAGCACTCTGGGAGTCTGACGCATAAGGATTCCCTGAGGCCAGGAGCTGGAGACCAGCCTAAGCAACATAGCAAGATCCTATCTCTACAAAAAATTTAAAAAACTAGCTGGGCATGGTGGCACATGCTTGTAGTCCCAGCTACTCAGGAGGCTGAGGCAGAAGGATAGCCTGAGCCCGGAGTTTGAGGTTGCAGTAAGCTGTGATGACACCATTGCACTCTAGCCTAGGGAACAGAGACCCTGTCTCCAAAAAAGAAAAAGAAAAAAAAAAACGAGACATAAAATTGTATCAGGTAAACCCACTTAAAAAACTATTTTGTGAAAAAAAAAAAAAAAAAAAAACTATTTTGTGTGTGCATATAAAAGATATACAAAAATATAAAAAAAGAAATCTAAAAAAGGTTAATAGTGACTATCTCTGGGGAGTCATATTACAAAAGATTTTAATACTGTACCAGTCTGCATTTTCTATATTCTCAATAATAATCACATACTTTATAAACAAAAAAGAAAAAATTAAAAATAATTTGAGTAACTTCATTCTCAAAAACTCAAACTAAAGCCAGGCGCTGTGGCTCATGACTGTAATCCTAGCATTGTAGGAGACCTTGAGGCAGGAGGATTGCTTGATCAGCCTGAACAAGAGCTACACTCCATCTCTACTAAAAAAAAAATGGAAAAATTAGCTGGGCATTGTTGTGCATGCCTACAGTCCTAGCTATTTGGGAGACTGAGGCAGCAGGAATGCTTGAGCCCAGGAGTTTGAAGTTGAAGTGAGCTATGATGACACCATTGTACTTTAGCTGGAGGAACAGAGTGAGACTCTGCCTCAAAACAAAAACAAAAGCAAAAACAAAAACAAACTCAACCTACTATATGAACTTGAATTATTTAACTACTTTGTTTTTAAAAATAGAGACATCTATGCTTATATAGGCATAGAACACTCTGGTAGGATAATTAATAAGTTGGCAATGGTAGCCTCTTCTATGGGGAGGCCAGGCGCAGTGGCTAACACATATAATCCTAGCATTCTGGGAGGCCAAGGCGGGAGGATCACTTGAGCTCAGGAGTTCAAGACCAGCCTGAGCAAGAGCAAGACCCCATCTCTACTAAAAATAGAAAAATTAGTTGGCCATGGTGATACACGCCTTTAATCCCAGCCACTCAAGAGGCTGAGGCAGGAGAATCGCTTGAGCCCAGGAGTTTGAGGTTGCTGTGGGCTAAGCTGACACCACGGCATTCTAGCTCAGATGACAGAGCGTGACTCCATTTCAAGAAAAAAAAAATTTTTTTTCTATATAAGGAGAACTGGTTGACTCAGAAATTTACTTTGTACTCTACTTTTATGAATTTTGTACCATGTATCTATATTATCTATTAAAAATTAATAGAAAAATTAGTTTATAGTAAATTCTATTACCATAGATTTACTCAGCGATTCCCATAGTCAACTGGGAAACAATAAAGTATTAACTCAATTCAGCAAACAGAACAAGGAGGCATGAAAAGGATACACAGCAGGTGTAATACCAAACTAAGAATACATTTGGCTAACAAAATAAAATGGCAGACATGGCTGTAATTGTGTCTGTAGTGACTGCACATTTCTCTGCCTTCCCAGGGTACATGGAACATAATCTAATGTTTATGTTTCTAAAGGAAACATTTTTCCTTTTTAATATAATCAAGAGTACTAAGAAAACCCATGTTCTAAACACAGTTCTGTCACCAACAAGCAAATAACCTTGGATGAGTTCTTGAGATTTTTGTGCCTCAGTTTCCTCCTATGCAAAATTATAGCATGCAATTAGAACATTCCAAGACTATGCCCTAAAGATCTAAATACTAGTCATACCAGCCAACTTGCCCAAGATCCATAGTTTTACAAAGCCTAAGTAGATGTCAGGTTCTAGGGCCCTTTCTTGAGAGCTTGTTTGGAGGTTCTAGCAGGGGAGCACAGCTACTCGTATACCCTTGACCAAAGACTGGTCCTCCCTTAGCGGAGAAGGTCGTCCTTTTCAATGTAGTGTGCGTGGCTTTGGGAAGGACTCACATGGAGCAGTGAGGGAGGAAGGGGACACCCGGCTCGCCAGCCAGATCAGCTGAATCAACCCTGGCGATCAATGGGGTGACAGGAGTCGCAGCCAAATTGCCCTCCCATCCAAGGGCCCTTTCTTATACCCCGCCTTTGTATATGGAAGGAAAAAAACATTCAATGACTTAATCTGATGTTGTAAATAACTTTATGGTTAAAAAAAAAAACAAACACTCCATAAGTCTTATTTAGCCAAGGGGTCAATTTGCAGAGACAATCATTTTCCAACACGAAGGTTAACATTTTAATAAAACAATGATGACTAAGTGACACTTAAAATTATTAGGATCATAGCTTCATGACTTGTTCCTCAGATGTCATCAGCCCACTTTTCTCATTTAAAGATAAGAAAACAGTAGTCAATAGAGTTTGTCTATAGTCACATAGCTACCTAGGGTCAAACTACTGTGAGAAGTTTTAAATTTTAAAATTCGAAGATCAGTACTCTTCCCACTTAAACATGTTAGCGTATTTCCATGTGAGAAAATCAAACCAGCAACCCAGACTCTATGCTTAAGTTTACACTTCTGATGCACACATTAAATTATAAACAAAACAGAAAATAAACTATTATAAACAAAATCTTAAAACATCATCACAAACTCACTTACAGCACTCCACAGGTATAGAAGCTATCTGTAGAGAAAGGACTTTTCCATTGGGCTGTGGGATGTGTACACGAAATACAAGTCGTACTCTAGTATTCTTTCTGCCGATATCAGTTTCTCCTTTTCGAAGTTCTATATCTGAATTGCGGAGTTTCAAAATACCTGCACAGTCAATACTAAAGAAAAAAAAATATAAAAATTTAATTTGCTTATTAATAATCATGGTTCTGGTGGGGCATGGTGGCTCACACCTGTAATCCTAGCACTCTGGGAGGCTGAGGCAGGAGGATGCTTGAGCTCAGGAGTTCTAGACCAGCCTGAGTGAGACCGCATCTCTACTAAAAATAGAAAAAAATTAGCTGGACAATTAAAAATATATATATAAAAAATTAGGTGGGCATGGTGGCACATGCCTGTAGTCCCAGCTACTTGGGAGACTGAGGCATAAGGATTGCTTAAGCCCAGGAGTTTGAGGTTGCTGTGAGCTAAGCTGACCCCAGAGCACTCACTCTAGCCCGAGCAACAGAGTGAGACTCTGTCTCAAAAGAAAAAAAAAAAGTTTTCCTTAAGGAAACATAATAATCATAATTACACTGCAATTGTTTATTGTCTACCCTATTACACTGTGAGCTATTTGACATTCATATACTGTACTTTTATCCCTATCACCTAGGATGATACTTGTGTATGGTTCATAAACATTTGTTGAATTGAATTTTCTTTTTGGAAATATGCTACCACCCTTAGAGCAAACGTAAATTTAGTTATACAATGTCATTTAGTTAACTTAGAACAACGCAGAGTTGTATTTATACTTAAAAAAATACATTTTTTCTGAAAGGTGTTTCAGGGGAAAAAAGAATTGCCCATTTTAGGGTATGTTTCAAGATACCTGGCTGACATATTGTTTTCAGGAAGAAGTGGAATTTCCAGAACTTTTGTGCTGGCAATTATTATCTCTTGGCTTGCAGTAGCAACTGTCTTCCCAGTGATTCGATGCACCTGGTAAAATGCATGAGGTCGTAAATACCGATCATCTGCTGTTCCAATAAACATCTGTAGATTTATCGGCTTTTCACTGTAGCCCAGGAGCTAATTAGGAAGAACAAACACAGAAAAGCACAATTCATTATCCATGCATTTTACAATAAGCTTATCTGTATCATGTACCGTTGATACATAAAATGTTATTTCAAAAATGACAAAAAAAAACCCCAAGATAGAACGCTGAAATATGTTACACAAAGGATGTGGGGTTTTTGGTTTTGTAGATTTTTTTTTTATAAATATCTGGATCAACATAAATTTACAAGGCCTTCTGACTCTGTAGTACAGAACACAAAAGAAATGCTGATACTGTACCATAGGCAACATTAACCATTCAGACTACACCTAAAGACTTTGGTGTGGGATGGGGTCCTATAACAGGCTGTTAAAATCAGAGGTACATACAATTCACATGGCAGTTAAAAAAAAAAAAGGAAAAAAGAGATAAAAAAATTAAATAAAAAATAAAATGAAAATAGAAAAAAAATCAGAGGTACTTCATTTTAGTAGAAAGAACCTGAAAAACTCTATTCTACACATTACAAACTTAGAATTTCAACTTGCTTAACAAGCCCAGGCTAGTTGACTTTTCTTGGTATCTACTTTTCACTATTGCTAGGTTAAGATGACTTATATGGGTCTGACATAGGGGAAGACCAGGAGGTGCTGGAGGCAAAAACTGTCACCACAAGAAAGGAGGCAATTAAAAGAAACAGAGCCTGAAAAAGTATACAAATAGCATTTAGGGAGAATTAGAATGGCTGAGCAGTACCTATATGATCCATCTTCATGCAGGTAACAACTATAAACTGGAACAAATGTAAAGAATGGCTTGAAAGCATGGTGAGCAATTACAAATAAGCAGATATTGATAAACTGACACATCTAAGAAGGAAATAACACAAGCTATGTTTCCTGTGTTGTGTTTTTTAACCTGAGGGAAAGACACAGTCCATGCCTTACACAGCAGCTGAAACTTCCATCAAAAAAACCTACGGTCTGAATTCAGGGCTCTGGAGAACTTAGGACAGAGTATGAGACAACCACAGCCTCTGGAAAGGAAGAGGGAAATCCCAGAAAGGAGACAGTCAGAGAACGGGAGCTCCAAACAATACATATAAACTCTGCCCAAACCTTTGGCTGACTTCTGAACCATGCTCAAACAGCACAGACTCTAAGTAGCCTAACTAAGACTAAAACAACTGAAATGAAATTTTGAGCTGCCACAAACCACAGGGGAGAAAGGTTTTCCAGGTTTCCACTCCAACCAAGTGCCTGCTTAAAAACAAATTCAACTTTGAAATGAGAGTGTATACATATGCGTTCTGCTGAATTGTAGGAGTTCTTTATATATTCTGAATACTAATCCCTTCTCAGATATATGATTTACAAATATTTTCTCCCATTCTGTAGGTTGCCTTTTCATGTTCTTGGTCATGTTCTTTGATACATGAAAGTTCTTAATTTTGATGAAGTCCACTTTATCTGCTTTTACTTTTGTTGCTTGTGGTTTTGGTATCATATGGGTAAAATCTTTGCTAAATATATCAAGACAATTTCCCTCAATGTTGTCTTCTAAGAGTTTTATAATTTTAGCTCTTAAATTTAGGTCTTTCATCCATTGAGTTAATTTTTATATCCAGTATAAAAGTCCAATTTCATTCTTTTGCATGTGGATATCCAGTTTTCCTAGCACTCTTTATTGAGAAGATTAGCCTTTCTCTATTGAATGGTATTGGTACCCTTGTTGAAAATCATTTGACCTTACCTGTGAGGGTTCATCTCTGGGCTAGCTATTCTATTCCACTGGTCAGTCTTTATGCCAGGACCATACTGTTTTAACTGCCATAGCAAATTGGGAAGTATGAATTATCCAACTTTGTTTTTCTTTTTTAAGGACTGTTTTGGCTATTCAAGGTCCTATGCAATCCCATGTGAATTTGAGGATTTCCTTTTCCATTTCTGCAAAAAAGGCTGTTAACATTTTGATAGGTATTATATTGAATCTACCACTTTCAGAATATTGACATCTTAATAATGCTAAGTCTTCCTATTCATTAACACAGGATGTCTTTCCATTTATTTAGATTCTCTTTAACTTTTTCCAGCAACGTTTTGTAGTTTTTAGCATACAAGTCTTCCACCTCCTTGGTTAGATTTACTCCTATAATCTTTTTTATGCTATTATACATGGAATTACTTTTTTAAATTGTTTTTTAGCCGTTTCTCACAATGGAATAACTTTTTAACTTCCTCTTCTGATTGTTCATTGCTGGTATACAGAAATACAACTGATTTGTGTTGATTTTCTATCCTGAAACTTTGCTGAACTTATTTTTAGCATTAGTAGCTATCTTACAGATTATTTGTGATTTTCTATGTATAGAATCATGTCATCTGTGAATAGAGATAGTTTTACCTCTTTGTAAAATTTATTTTTATTTCAGAATATTATGGGGGTACAAATCGTTAAAGTTACATACATTGCCCTTGTATCCCCTCCCCCTCCTTGAGGCAGAAATTCAAATGTGTCCATCCCCCAGACAGTGTGCAGCACACTCACTATGTATGTATAGACCCATCCTCTCCCCCCTCCTCCCACCTGCTCCACACCGACAAATGTTTTTCTTTTTTCTTAACATTTTGGTTACATTTTATATCTTTGCCCCTCCCTAGCAAGGGTTAGAGGTATGCCTTTCCCCACCACAATGTTCACCCCATCCCACAGATGTGGGACTACCCCTCTAACCCCCGAATCCCTGGTGAACACCACCACCCTTTCAGCACCATAGTGTTTATCGGTCAGTACCAATTTGATGGCAAGCGTAAGTTTTACCTCTTTATTTCCAATTGTAATGCCTTTTATTTCTTTTTTTTATTGCCTTATTGGTCTGGCTAGGACTTTCAGCATAACATTGAAAAGCAGTGGTGAAAGGCAGGCATCTTTGTTTTATTCCTGATCACAGGGGGAAAGCTTTCAGTCATTTATCATTAAATATGTTAGCTGTGGGTTTCTTATGAATGCCCTTGATCATTAAGTTCCCTTCTATCCCTAGTTTGCTGCATATTTCTTTTTTAAATCATGAAAGACTGTTGAATTTTGTCAAATGTTTTTGTGTCAACAGATTTTCAAGGGTCTCCAGCCCTTGAAACTGTCAGAAGACCTTTCTCTGATTTATTACCTGGTTGCCTGGTTTTTAATCTATGAGGCGTTCTCTATGCTCTTCAGTACTGCTCTTTCATTTCTGAGCCTCAGAATATTTCTTTCAGCCATTTCTCAACCTTTGAGAGTTTCTGCCTTTTGTGAACTTTTGGTCTTTTGAGAGTACCTTGAAGAGATTTTTCTCAACTTTCCTAATAATACTCCAGTCTTTTGTAAATAAGAGCCTAGAGTGCCTCAGGGTGCTTTACACCTTCAGTACAAAGTGAAGTGGGGAGCTCTCAGCTCTCCTGCCATGCCTCTTCTCCTCTGGGATGGTGGCTTTCTTGCACTTGGTGGAGTCTTGCAGGTGAATGTTTTATTCCCCTGTGCTTACCCTTCCCTGGCTTTACAGTGGCGTTTGTAACTAAGCAACTTTATAATTTATTGATTATCCTCCTCTACCCAGGAAAAGATATTAAGACTTGCCTATTATTAGATAATACAATTTATCCAGGATGGTTTTCAGTCCTCTCACAGTTATAGAGAAACACTTAAAGCCTAGGCAATAGCTTTATAACAGTTCTTGTTTTTACTCTCGTTCCCCTACGGCCCCATTCTCTGTCCAGCAGCCAGAACAAACTTATAAATTGGATAATTTTACCCCTTGCTTAGAACTCTCTAATGGCTTCCCTTCACATTCAGAATTAATTAAAATTCCCTATAATGGTTTTCATAGTCTATCTGATTTGTGCCCTGACTAACTTGTTGGCCTTAACTTTTCCCCCTCTTTCCCTTCTACAGTCTACTCTAGCCATACTGGCCTTACTGCATGAATCACTCAAGCTCATTCCTAACCTCAGGACTTTTATACTTAATATTTTATTCCTTAGGAATATTATTCCCTCTCATCTTCATGTTACTTCACTCCTTTGCCTGATTCAGTTCTGTACTCAAAGGTCAGCCCCCTCCGAGAAGACTACTACATCTAAAATATCACATCTCTGTCCCCTTATCTTGTGTTACTATTTTTCATATTTATTACTACCAAAATTATATTATAAATTATTTATTAACCATCCAAGTACCATATAAGTTCCAAAAAGGCAGAAACTGTCTTGTTCACCATTCTATCCTTTCCTCCTTTTATTGAAGATCCATTATGGAAAATTATGGAAATAGTCATATTGAAATGTTACTACATCAGCCAGTATTATATAGGTGATACTAAAAGAAAGACTGAAGTGCAATGTATTAAATTTTAAGGAATTACTGAAGCTCCTAAAAGGCAGAAATTTATTCTTAATAATATAAGATGTGGGCAAGCACATGACAGAAATCAAGTAAGGCTCTATGAAGGAGATAAAGGATAGAAGCATGGAAACAAGCTAAGAGGCTGAAGCACTAAAATCATGTGTACTGAGAGTTTAAACTAGGGTGGAGATAGGAACATAAATAGAAAATAGGAAGAGAAAATAATGAATGGAATAAATCTTTCCTATGAGGCCTTAAAGAGATTTTTTTAACTGACTACATATAGAACAAAAGAGGAAACAAAGAAGTCAGAAATTCTGAGCTTTGGTAACCAGGAGAATGGGGGTATCACTAGCAAATAAAGAAATTAAAGAAGTGACTGATTTAGAAACAGATGTAAAGAATGTCCTTTATTAAAAAGTCAAAAAACAATGGGTGCTGGAAAGGATGCAGAGAGAAAGGAATGCTTATACACTGTTGGTGGGACTGCAAATTAGTACAACCTCTATGGAAAACAGTATGGAGATTCCTCAAAGAAACAGACACAGACTAACCATTCAACCCAACAATCCCACTACTGTGTATCTACCTAAAGGAAAGTAAGTAATTTTATAAAAAAGAAACCTGCACTAGAATGTTTATTGCAGCAAAA